ACACAGAGGTAAGGGAACTTGGCCCAAAGTCTGACATCTAGAAGTGGCAGAGCCAGGATTTACATTAATTACAAAGTTAAACTGTTAAGTACTACTCTTCTCTGCTCTATAGCAAGCAATCAGTGAATGTTAGTTCCTGTCCCTACCCTGATTTGATTATGGGAGATATTTGACCACATTGCAAGACAAGGGTTTTCAGTTGCAAAAAAAATACATCCGGGTATTTCCATGGTTCACGGCTTTGTTTTTTTCCCCTGATTTGATTATGGGAGATATTTGACCACATTGCAAGACAAGGGTTTTCAGTTGCAAAAGAAATACATCCGGGTATTTCCATGGTTCACGGCTTTGTTTTTTTCTTGTTTAAAACTACGGCCTGCTCCTCTGAAATCCAATTTCGGACAAGTTTGTTGACCAAGAATTTCCCTCTCATCTTGTCCTCCTGCTATCTCCTCCCTGACTACCAGAAAAAGAGACACACAGCTTTATAAAAACAAGATAAGAAATCAAAAGGAGAGACAGAGAAAGAGAGAGAAACCCACTGAGTAAGCACCCATGCCCTTAGGAACAAACTCAAAGGAGGTCTCGCCGCCCTTCTAATTATCCACAAAAACAACTGCCTACACATAAGGGTGCCCAAGGCAGAAGCAATTTATCCACATAAAGGCTGACTACATGAAGTCTCAGCTCCCCAGAAAACCTGAAGAAGATAGAATTTCCATTTCTCTCCTCCATAAGACTGCATGTGCCCTACCGCCAACCACAAAGGAAATTTCATTACCAAAATAAATCACTTGACCTTGCTTCTCCAACAGCTCAGCATTAGTGATATCATAAACCACTCTACAAATGTTCAGAAATATCGAACTAACCCCCTAAAGTAAAAAAACACTTGGTATTTCACTAAAGGACACTAAATTATTTTGATTTTACTACACAGAATCTAAAATGCTTTCAATGTTTTCATTTTCAAAACCCTTAGAGAAAAAGTATGCTCTTAAGACCTTAAGAAATCCTCACTCCTGGTCTGGTTTGTGTCCTGATTCACATATGGTAAGATGGGGAACAGGCCAGAAGCCAAGGAACAGTAGCTCTGGCCCCACACTGCTCACATGACTCAATCCCTGAGTGGCGGGAGCCTCACTGTGGAGGCTCTCAAATCAACTCTCTCTCTCTCATCCTCAAAGTCACAGGCATATCAGAGGAAGCCCCCAGGCACCTAAGTCAGTTTCTCTTAAGGGGCATCCCCCACAGCCCTGCTAACCACCATGTTTCCTTTCCAAGGGAGCAGGAGAAGCAAAGCTCCCACATGTTGACCAAAGAAAGGGGATATTTTCTCTGCAAGGCAGCTGCCTGAAGGTGGGGTGGCTGCAGGGCCAGTGCAGCAAATGCACTTCCCACACCCCAGTCAAGACACTCAATCCTGCAGCTGTACACTCCACCTGCTGAAAACCCACAACTAATAAGACTGTTCTTCCCAAACAAGTTGTAATTTCTGATGCTGGTTGCTCAAAAGGATTGCCCATTTTAAATTAGGTTGGCCACCAGTACAGTTAGAAAAATGTATTATTGATTTAAGGAAAAAAGAATCCATACACCAAGAACATGTGCACTCAGGAAGCACTCCGAACTTGAGCTGCCCTGGGTGCTAAAGACATGCTCCCACAATTAGCATCTCCTTTGTCAATAACCAATCATCTTGTTGAGCTGAAAGTCAAAAATTACAGCATCATACAATGGAAAAGTCCAAAGGACCCAGGGACATCACCTACTTTACCATCTTTTATTGTTTTTTTGTTTGTTTGGTTTGGTTTAGTTTTGGTCACTGGTCGGTACAGGGATGGAATCCTGGACCTCAGTGTTATCAGCATCATGTTCTAACCAACTTTGCTAACTGGCCTGCCCCACCATCTTTTTTTTTTTTTTTTTTTTTTAATCTGGGGAGAAAACTGAGACCAAGGCCAAGGGAAAACTGTTCAAACCCACTTTTGAAAAA